ATATATATATATATATATATATATATATATATATATATATATATATATATATATATATATAATGGTCCTAAACTCAAAAGTGTTAGGTAAAAGGGATTAAGAAAAAGCCAAGTGAGTTTCATTGGAGAAGTCGGCAAAGTGAAAAGTTGGAATCTTAATGTATGTCACTGTTGCGTCGTTCTCACTAACTTGAATCTTGAGTTGTCCATTTCTTCACCTTTTTATGATACCATTGCCTTTTTGCCTCATATTCCCACTAAGGGTGTGTTTGGTATTTCCTAAAAAATATTTTCATCAAAAATGAGTGGTTTTATCATTTATTTTATCTTGTTTGGTTGTTGAGTGAAAATCTTTTTCCGGAGAATAATTTCTGGTATTTGGTAAGAGAGTAGAAAATATTTTTTAGGAAAATGTTTTCCTTCATACCAAACACACCCTAAGGTTCATAACTTTGTCAATCTACCCCTTTCCTGCTCTTTCCGTACCTTGCTTTCCAAATAACATTAGCTAGTCAACTAATAGTTTCTCGTACTTGTCAGCCAAAAACAGTTAATTAGTGAATGTATGACATTAGCAATTCCTTTTTGGGGTTAAAAACATTTTCATTTTCATGAATGTTTAACTACGATATATATTAAATATTGAAAAACGTCATTACATGCCATAATATTGCTCTGCTCATGAGCAAAAGAATTTCCAAAAATTAGGGCCAAAATATTACATGCATTATTTGAGTTAGTCCTAAGTACTCACTAACTTTTAGGCATATGTATACTCTAAATCCCTACCTAGGAATTCTAATACAGGGGGTGTAATTTTTACTTTACGGAAACAAGTCCATAATTGATCAGTTTTTCTCAATGTTACTATTGTAGCTTTGATTTTCTCCCCCATCCGATCCGTTCAATCCATTGTTCTTTCTCTTAAAGATCTCTTCTTGTTCCTCAATCTTTAGCCAGTATGAAATAGCTAGGATGGACGTGAGGTAATTCGTCCTATTTTGAGTGGCAAAAGTTTTTGTCCAATATATGCACCAAGACTTATGTGACTTATGGCTATAGGATGCTTACTTTCCATGCAAATAAAATTTTGTCCACACGTTGGACTTCCTCGTTTATGTCTGAGCGGTAGTTGAGATCTCAACTCCAATGCTTAATTATAGTATTGCCTTTTACTTTTATTTGATTGAAATCATCGTCCTTGGACATATAATCAAATCAGTCAGCTAGCCACACTTTGTTTCACCACAGCCATCATGCATCAATGGCTTTTCATTTTCATGCACGTGATTATACAGAATTCAACTTATATATACCGACAATGTAAGAAAAAAAAATTTACTATTAGATCACTCAAAGAATATATCTTCAGGTAACCCTTCATAAAAACTAGGATTTGTAATATTACAATTAGAATAGCATCACTACAAGATAACATTACACAATAATGTAAAAATTCTCAATAACATAGGTGGATATTTGTTAAACTCTCTCTTTTATATATATATATATATATATATATATATATATATATATATATGTATTCAAAGTTCACATCATATTGATGGTGGGGTAACCTGTAGCTTGTAGGACAAATTGTGTCCACTTCGGTTTGAGAAGACTCTTAAAAGCAATATTAAGAATACAGGGACAGTACATATACCCTCGAGACATGATAAATTGTATGGCCGAAACAGAAATAAATACAAAGATAGTAGTGACAATTCGAAGCATCATGTTGATGTTCTTCTATCATATTCGTCCCATATATATTTTCATGGTAAAGGTTTGAAGTAAAACGAAAGACAGAAAATAGAAATCAAACAAGCTAAATATGCTCATATGTGCATCCAGCCCCTACTTTATGTGTCTGTACGAATTTTTGTCTTTGTCCCCTATATATCTTGTATAGTGATACACATCTCCTTTGCAAGTTAGCGTATTGACATGACATATCTCAATCTAAGCGTTTTTGGTTTCTCATAGTGTTCAATATCTGCAATGGGATCTGATTAAACCTGAATTTGTATCGGGAAATCCCACGTAGAAAATGTTAAATCTCCTCGATTGGGAGAGGAATTTGTTGAATTGCAGCATAATTGAATTAACTTTGATGAAGCTCGAAGAAGAAAACTTGACAGAGAAGAAAACAGAGAGAAGGCAATTTACATTTTGATACTATCTCTCTCAACTGAGAAATAAGTTCTTACACTAACATTTATACATGTAGCTAGTAACCTCCACTAACTGAAGTAGTTAAATTACAGTTGGCTTAAGACTAACTAACTACAAAGCTAACTACAGTTGACTACTGGCTAACTATGATTAGGTAACTTCAGTACATGCAGTACCCTTTACACCCCCCACCCCCTCTCAAGCTAGGGGAAATGAAGACATTCTTCATCCCTAGCTTGAAAACCAAGTAGTTGTACTGACGAATGGTAAGGCCTTTAGTGAGGACATTAGCTAATTGTTTAGAAGAGGGCAATTAGAGAATGTGAACCAGGCCTTGTTGAACCTTCTCAAAGATGAAAATGGCAATCGATATCGATGTGTTTTGTGCGTTCACGAAATACAGGATTTGCAGCAATCTGGATCGCAGATTTGCTGTCACAAAATAAGAAAACTTGCACTTTAATGTCCACAGCAAGTTCCCTAAACAGCCCAACCAACCAAACAATGTTTACGACAGTAGAAGCCAAACTCCTATACTATATTTCAGCAGAACTTTTGAAAATAGCGGACTGCTTTTATGATTTCCAGGATACCAACAAATCACCAAATTTCAGTAGGTAGCCAGTAACAGATCTAGGGCAAGCTCCCAATCAGCATCACAGAAAGCACTTAGATGAAAGTTAGAAGTTTAGGACATAAGGATCCCCTGCCCTGGTGCCTTCTTAATATATCTCACTAGGCGTAATACAGCTTCCAAATGGGACTGCTTTGGTGAATGCATGAACTGGCTGAGGCATTGCACAACAAATGCAATGTCAGGCCTGGTAATGGTCAGGTACAACAATATCCCTAGTGGTCTCTGATAAGGACCCGAATCATCTAGGGGAGGATCAACATGAACACCAAAATGAATGTCAAACTCAGTAGTAGTGAGCCTCTGATTGAGGTCAAAAGGAGCACCAACAGGCTTTGCTCCAGATAATCCCAAGTCTGAGATGAGCTCAAGGGCATATTTTCTCTGATGCATTAATACCATCTCTGCCTCTTGCAAACTCAATTCCAAGAAAATACTTTAAGGCACCTAGATCTTTGATCTTGAAGCTCTTATGCAAGTTGTCCTTGGTTTCTTTAATCAGAAGAGAGTCATTGCCAGTGATTAATGGGTCATCTACATAGACCAACACTACCATTATATTGTCACCGGATCTTTTGGTGAACAAGGAATAATCCAGGTGGCTTTGAGTGAAGCCATAGGACAAGAGAGAATTGGCGAACTTGATGTTCCAATACCTTGAGGCTTGCTTAAGTCCATACAAGGACTTGAGTAGCCTGCATACTTGATTTTTACCATGTGGATGATTGAAACCTTGAGGCAAGTTTATGTAAACTTCTTCATCTAAATCACCTTGTAGAAAGGCATTGTAGACATCCATTTGATGAATGTCTCAATGCTTAGTTGTTGCTACAAAAATGGTTGCCTGACCATAACCATCTTAACAACTGGAGAGAAAGTTTCTTGGTAATCTAGACCCTCTTTTTGACTTTAACCTTTTGCAACTAACATTGCTTTGAATCTTTCCACTTTTTCTAGAAGCTTTATATTTGATCTTATAGACCCATTTTCATCCAATGGCTCTCTTGCCAGGAGGTAAAGGAACTACTTTCCAGGTTTGATTGTCCTATAAAGCTTTGATCTCAGTTTGCATAGCTTCAATCCATCTTGGATTCTCGATTGCTTGAGCATGAGTCGTAGGTTCTACTTCAGCAGAAAACCTAGTAATGAAGCTCTTATAATTGGAAGAAGGAGAATAATCCACCACATCTGATAGGAGATATAAACAAGTTGCTGCAGCATGTTTACTTCCAGGAACAACAAAATCCTTTAGCCAAATTGGTGGCTTGGAAGTTCTGAAAGACTTCCTGATTGCTAAGGATTCACCTGCTAAGGATTCAACTTCCTAGGTTATACCTTGTGACTGTGGCAGAGTCATAGGCTAATCACTAGGTGAATTTGTAGAAATAGGTAAAGTTGGTGGTGACATTGAAGCAGGGATCAAATAAGGTATAGTTGGAGTAGCTTTTGAATATGGCAAAACAACTGAAAATATCTCATCATCCATAGGCAAGGAAGCTAATCTAGTGCTAACAGACCAAGAATCTTTCCCTGCAAAACTGTCATGAAAAGGAAATATGGTTTCATGAAATTGAACATCCCTACTGATGAATACTACCCTATTGTCAATATCAAATAATTTGTATCCCTTTTGGAATGAATCATAGCCTAACAACACAGCCCTTATTGCTCTATGACTAAACTTGTCCTGCCTAGGAAGTTTAGAGGCATAGCACAGACATCCTATGATCCTCATGTGTAACAGTGTAGGCACTTTCTGATATAGCAATTCAAAAGGTGACTTATTACCCAAAACAGTGGAAGACACTCTGTTTATGATATACACTGCAGCTTTTACACAACAGCCCCAAAACTTAGCAGGTAGATGTCCTTGAAACTTTATTGCTCTTGTTGTTTCAAGAATATGTTTGCATCCCCTTTCTACCACACCATTTTTTTGGGGTGTGTATGCACAAGATCTTTGATGTATTATACCATGCATACTAAATAACTCACCACAAACAGAGTTAAAGAACTCTGAGCCATTTTCAGTCCTAATAACTTTAATCCTGCATTCAAATTGATTGAGAATCATGGCAATAAATTCCTTAAGTATACCAGAAACATCAGATTTAACATGCATCAAAAAATTTCAAGTCCACACTGAATAGTCATCTACAACAGTAAGGAAATATTTCATACCATCATAAGTGTCAATTTTATAGGGTCCCTAGACATCTAACTGAAGCAATTGGAAAGGAGCAGTAACTCTACTAGTACTATGCTGGAAAGCAGTTCTAGTCTGTCTAACTAATGAACAAACACCACAATGATTCAATGAAAAAATACATTTATTCTGAAAAATAAGAATCTTTCTTAAGACTGCCATTGGCACATGACCCAATCTCATATGCCAAATCTCTAGATCTAATGTTGTTTGGAATGCTATTGATCTGCTAGGACTAGTTATTGCATTGTTACTCTGAGACTTCAACACATAAAGACCCTACTCTTCTCTACCAATCGCTTTCACCTTCCCACTGAAGAGATCCTGGAAGAAGAAGAATCCAGGATAGAAAGATGCAAAGCATTTCAAATCCCTGGTGAGTTTAGGTACTGACAATAAACTGAATTTAAAATCTGGAACACATAGAACATCTGTGATTACATCATCTTCAGACAACTGACAACTTCCAACATGGGATATCTTAGCAGAATCACCAGTTTGCAATTGGACTTGACCATTATTTCCTACTTTAGCATCATCCAACCAAATGTTTGTTACTAGTCATATGATTGATGGCTCCAGTATCCACTATCCAATCACGACTAAGTTTATGCTCAGAAAGTAATATACTTGCCATATGTGCACTGTGACCATTGGTATCACCTGTTGTAGTTTTGTTCAGCATATTCAGGATTTGATTGTATTGGTCTTTAGTGAATACAGGAGGAGAGGCACAAGTAGTAGTTGTTCCTTCAGACTGTGTCATGTTTCCACTCACAGGTAGCCATTTCTTCTTAGCCTTGAAATCTGTAGGATAACCAATGATCTTATAGCAATTCTCTTTAAGATGTCCTTTCATATTGCAGAAATCACATCCCATAAGCTTGTAACAATTCTCCCTTGTGTGACCACGCAAAATGACAGTAATCACACTCCAAATTATAGTTTTTCTTCTATTTATACCCTGTGTTCTTATATGTAAACAAGGCCTTGGGATCTATATTGTCAGAAACAACACAATGTCCTCCAGCTACGATATTTTGGATCTCATCTTGAAGAATCATTGTGTAAGCCTGATTAACAGTTGGTATTTTTGATTTCATCAGAATTTGGCTACATGCCTGATTGTATCTTTTGTTCAATCTTATCAAAACTGCCATAAACGATGGTACTGCTGGTGTTCAATGTAAATCTTCGATTTGTCACAACAAGTCGGAGGTGGCATAATTGAGTCATATTCGTCCCAAAGATCTTTTAGCTTCGAATAATACACTGATACAGAGGATGTACCTTGTGTAAGAGTGAAGATTTCTCTGTGCAAGTAATACATTCGTGATGCATTTACTTTATCAAATCTCTCATGCAAATCTGACCAAATTGCATATGCGTTGGATCGAAACAACACTCCACTCAGCAGATCTCTGCTCACATTGTGCATAATTCACGACTTCACAATTGCATTACACCGATCCGAGAGATTTACATGTTTCTCACTATATGTATTTCTAGTGATGGATCCATTGACAAAACCCAGCTAATTGCGTATGAGCAGAGAGACTTCCATTGCTTGACACCAAAGAGCATAGTTTTCCATTCCAATCAACTAAAAACCAAGCGATAATGCATTCGGAGTTTCGAATGGATACAAATATAACGGATGATTGTGATCAATTACACTAGATCCTTGTTCAACGACTTCGTCAATCGCCATCGATGAAAATTAAGGTTTCAAGCAGAAACACGATCAATCTCTCGTTCTTCACCAGAATTGTGATGAAGGACCCTAGATTTGATCAATTACTACTCTGATACCATGTTAAATCTCCTCGATTGGGAAATGAATTTGTTGAATTGCAGTAGAATTGAATTGACTCTGATGAAGCTCAAAGAAGAAGACTTGACAGAGAAGAAAACAGCGAGAAGTCAATTCACATTTTGATTCTATCTCTCTCAACTAAGAAATGAGTTCTTACACTAACATATATACACATAGCTACTAACCTCCACTAACTGAAGTAGTTAAATTACAGCTGGCTTAAGGATAACTAGCTACAGAGCTAACTACAGTTGACTAATGGCTAATTAAATTTAGGTAACACTACTAAAAATAGCAAATTTGCGACCGTCAAATCAGTTGGAAGTCGGTCTGAAATCGTGTTTTTCCGACGGATTTTTGACTGAAAAGTGTCAGTCGCAAAACACGTGGTCGCAATATATTTGAGACAAAATTAGTCAAAAATTTGTGACGGATTGATAAGTGGGGATTTTAACCATTATTCGCTCTCTTTTTACTTGCATTTTGGGCTTAAGATGCGTGAAGGTATTCCCGAAAACTAACATAATATGCTTGCTTGCAGGGATTGTTCACAATGGGCCAAAGTGGCCATGATAAACTCATAAAGGAGTCAAAACATGAACAAAGACCAAGACTGGGCCAAGAGCTATAGAACGCGGACCGCGACATAAAAGTTCGGCCGGTAAGTATCAATGCGGACGCGGCCAATAATTCGCAGACAGCGAAATGGAGAATCAGAGAGGTGGTTTTCGGGCACAGACATAGGCGCGGACCGCGTCAGAAAGTGGCGGTCGCGAAAGTACCACCGCTGCCGCGATTGGAATTCCGCGGACCGCAGTTGCTAAGGTTTAGAGAGCTCACAAGTTATGCAAAAATGTTAAGAGCGGTCCGCATCAAAATTCCGCGGCCGCGGAAGGCTCTCACGCGAACGCGGTGAAAATTAAGCGGTCCGCGAACAAGGTTCAATCCAGTCCCAGATGTGAAGAAACGCGGACCGCGATCAAAATTACGCAGCTGCTAAAGCAAGAGGGCGGCTGCGGTCAGAATTACACGGTCGCGAAACCTCCGTAGGGGTATTTTTGTCCGGAAATTTTAGCTTAGTATAATTAGATCTTTTTCACATTTTTAGGTTAAATTTTGTTTTTGTTGAGCACGTGAGACGGCCAGATTTACTGTTTTGAGCAATTTTGTATTAGATTCGACCTTTAACATTAGCTTTTCCTCTTTTAATCTAGTATTATGGATTTTATCTTTATTTCATCTTTGATTTCTTCAATTTCCAAGAGTAGCTAAACCCATAGCTAGGGTTGTGACCCAACCCTAGTGTGGGTATTTGATAGGTCTTGAATTTTAGGGCTTGAATGTGTACGACTTAGTAGTATTTAGCCTAGTTCTTGCTAG